TTAGTTTTATTTACTGAAGATCCTCTTGATAGACGATATTGGAAGTACGTCCACCTGGGGCATGGATAAATAGGCTGCGAGAAGATCTGACTCTTGAGCAGGCTACATATAGTTTTTAAACTCCAAGGATAGTGTTCATAAAAAATAAAAAATATATAAGAAAGAACGCAGTTCGTGAGTCAAGCGCAAAAGAGCAATGCCGATTGGACGGGCGAGCGACCCTTAGCAAAGAAATACTTCTTTTAAAGAAATATAACCTTAAAAGCAATAAATAATGCCAAAACATAAACAAAATAAAGCACAGACAGCTGGAGTGATGCAACAAATTTTTGCAGGAGTTGTTTTCTTTCCAACATAGAGATAATAAACATTGTTTTGAGAATTTTACATTGTATTCAGTGTTACTATGGTAATCATTAAAACAAAAAATGTCCATAAGAATAACATTAGAACTTTGAAGACCAGTGGGGCGGAGCCCTAAGGTGAATTCCAAAAATCCAAGTAGCCTATAACCTTCTCACACATGTATAGAACAAAGAAAAAAGTTTCATCGAAATCAGTGCACTCGTGTTCCCGTGTAAGGGTTGTTTCGGCTTCTCTGGTGTATGAAACGTGAAGATATGCAAAAAGTACACTATTCTAAGCAATGTACAGACAAAACTCTTATTTTTTTATATAGATTCTCGTTCAGTGCTGCCCTCTATATGAAAAATTGTTTAGCATGCCACAAGCCTTGAAACTCCCACCTACGCTATGATCCACATGGTCAACAACATATTCGTATGTAAATCATCATGCAACAACCTTCCACCAGTAAGAGTGCAACACAGCCTCCTGATGCGTGTGATGCCCTCTATTCAATTCTACCTAACTATCATTGCTCGTTAGGCAGTTATGGAGTGCAGATTGTGTTGTTCTTCATGCAATATTTTCTCTAACTTTGTTCAATTTCTACAGTTTGTTCACTAAAAAGTTTTATCAAGTGCATTTCATTTCAGATTTCCAAAGTTCATGTCATAACTTCCACATACTATTACTAATGCTTCCATGAAATTGTTTTTTTTTTCTTTTTATGTTTATTGATTCACCTGTGACTTGGTAAATTATTTTTTTAAATTTATTACTTTCCTTCCAGGGGAATGTCCCTTTTAAGTCTATGTTCACACTCAGTGGCAAGCATTGCCTGTCCAGGTATGCTACGTACCTAAACAGATTCCGCACTCTACAGCCAACAATAAGACATACCGGGTATATTGTCTCCCACCTAGTGATGATGATTTATATGCAATGATGCTGTGAACCACGTGGATTTTAGGGTAGGTGGGAGTTTCAATGCTTGTTGCATGCGAAACAGTTTTGCATATAGAGGACAACACTGAATGAGAATAGCTATATACATGTGAGGGGAGGTAAGTACCGGTTGCAAATAAAATTCCAATGTAAGAAAATTATAAATTCCAATGCATTTGTTCGCATTTCAGTTTGTCAATTGTACGATCGATTCCTCTGGTTTGTGCACCACAATCAATATTTTCAGTTCTAAGTACTACCCTTTGGGTTTGCCACAGCCCTGTATATTTTCAATTGGCTTATGAGAGCAGTCACTGAGTGAATTCATTCTTTGGGTTTTCACTTCCATTATTATATGGATGATTGGCTTATGTTGTCTCCATCTCAAGAAGTTCTGCAGAGGCAAACTCCCTCCTCATTTGGAAGGCATCTCTCAGACAAAACCCAATAATAATGCTACACTCTAATGCAAGATCTAGGCATAGTGTAAATAATACAAGTTTTGCAGCAGTTTTGGAATACAAGATCTAATCTTAATGTAATTTGTACAAACACAAGTCATAATATAGCTAATACAAGGTGAACCAATGCCATATTAAACAAAATTTGGTGTAAATCGTAACTGAATGCCAGTTTCTGTTATTTTAAATCTTGCCTTTTCATGAGTTACATAATTTTTCTTTTTCATTTCTTGTGTTTAATTTTTATAAAGAAATAATTTAAAATATTTAGCATTTTTATTATATTTTCTAGATGACAGTTCCTAGTGTTCCCGCATTTCTAAATGTGACTGGTTTGTTTGATGTAGAATACAGAATCATTGTTGCCTGCCGAGATGGAATACTTTATACTCTCAAAAGGTAGGCACTACTTAGTTGAGAATTTGTATATTTATTTATGATGGCTATATGAACATAACATGTTAGACTACAATTAAGAGATATGCATTCAGCAGTTGAAAATGGATGAGTAAGAACTTGACATAAAATGTACATGTTTACCAATTGATTATAGTATCATAGCAACTTGACAGAAAAAGCCTTAAAATATAAGCATTTAGTAAATTGATAATGGTAGTGTTGGAACTTGACATAATAGAATAATGTAAAAGAAGATAAGTATTCAGTAATTGGTACTGATAACTTAGAAACTTTACATGACAGAATACAGTCTCTAGAAGCGTTCAGTAACTGATGTTGATAACTTAGAAACTTGACATGACTGAATACAGTCTTTAGTAGTAAACATTCAGTAACTGATATTGGTTATTTAGAAACTTCACATGACAAAATACTTTTTAAAGGCAAGTGTTCAGTAACTGATGTTGATAACTTAGAAACTTGACATGAATGAATACAGTCTTTAGTAGTAAACATTCAGTAACTGATATTGGTTATATAGAAACTTCACATGACAAAATACTTTCTAAAGGCAAGCGTTCAGTAACTGATGTTGATAACTTAGAAACTTCACATGACTGAATACAGTCTTTACTAGTAAACATTCAGTAACTGATATTGGTTATGTAGAAACTTCACATGACAAAATACTTTCTAAATGCAAGCGTTCAGTAACTGATGTTGATAACTTAGAAACTTCACATGACTGAATACAGTCTTTACTAGTAAACATTCAGTAACTGATATTGGTTATGTAGAAACTTCACATGACAAGATACCTTCTAAATGCAAGCGTTCAGTAACTGATATTGATAACTTAGAAACTTGACAGAATACAATTTCCAAAGTTAATCATTCATTACTGATAATGGCAATGTAGAAACTTGGCCTAACAATATAGTAGTTGCTAATAGGTAAAGAACCTTCATATAAACAAGATAGACATTGAGTAGTTGATATTGGCAATATAGAATCTTGATATTACACAAAGTATGCAGCCAGTAGTTTATAATGGTAATGGTATTAATCCTATGTATATAGGGGTGGTCAATTGGACCATTCCCATACTGTTGAATTAACAAGCACTATAATTCCTAATTTACTATGTGTATCTTCACAAAATTTGGCAATCATTTAGTAAACGTAAAAGGTACATTGTACACAAAAAAAATTCCAACTAAAGATTTGTCTAAGAATCTACTGAGTCAGGCTGCATGAAATGTGAATTTCATGACAGGAATAAAAATATCTTTTTTCATTTTAAAATTTTCACATTTCATTTGCATAACCTCTAAAAAACCCCTAAATGAATATCAAAAGTATATTTTGGTAAGTATGTTTTGGTATGTTTTATCTGTAGATATCTCTAAATAAATATCATACTTGATTACAGGGTCTTTAGAGAAATCCAAGTTTAATGAAAAAAGATCATGAAATGAGTTAAGTAACACAATTTTCAGTATTGAGAATGTAGTTACAGATTACTTATATTCACAGTTTAAACACTTATTCTTTTATTAATCATGTTTACTGTTGTGTTTTTATTTTGCTGTATGATGCAGTAATCTCCCAGACAATAAAGCAATAAATCATCACATAAGTCATTATGCTGTTTCTGGCAAATCGTAACACCTGCTCTGAAATGCATGCAAACATATAGAGCTCTTAGTTATATCTCAGTAAAGCAAAAAGCTTGGAGTGAAATTTACATTATGGCTTAGCAATATCCATAGTATAAGTAATTTTGCCAAACTCAAAAGATCAAGGAGTAGAGGGAAAAATCTAAACGTGGTCAATTTGGCCAACATATTCAGTAGACAAATTTATAATTATATAGAAAAACTGGCCTACAAAGTACAAATCTGTAATTAGCTTACCAGTATCTTATCAGATACTGTAACATTTTAATTATTTGTGTAAATTTTAAATATGCCCTCTAGGAAACAAAATAATATCATTCACTTGAATAAGAGCATCATAAAAACTAATATAATTTAACTGACTTTCTAACTAATGTGTATTTAAGTAAAAAAAATTAATTTATGTTCAGAGCAATGATTCTGAGTAAACCCACTTCAACATTTCCTAGTGCAAATGCTTTTCTTATCATAAAATTTACAAATAACTGTCGAACTTATGTGGTTAAAAATCTGTTCTTTGTATTTGTTATAAGCATGTATTTAAGATAGCTAGGCACGACTAAATAAGTGGCTTTAAAAGAATGAAGAGATGGAAGGGGCTTCTCTGGTATGCTTGTTAAACATATTGGTATCATAGCAAATCAAGAAGGTGGAAGGTTCTTATTTTATATTCTAGCTTGTTGGTATGTGAAGTTTGAGTTTCTAATTGATCAGGCACTATTGACATTGTATTATAAATGTAATAAAATGTAAATTGAACAACCTACATCAGGGACATGTTATATGAAATACAAGAGTGAATGTTGAGCATTTTTTATACTTCCTTTTGAATTAAGAAGTTTTATCTTGTATAATATTAAAATTTGGTTTATTAACTATGTTTTGATGCCAAGTTTATTGATATACATTGGTTATAAAGTAGTTTAAATAATTTTTGAATGTAAGTCTTCTGAAAAGTCATGCATGTACATTTTAATCCCCACCTGTACACATATGGTTAAACAAGGTAGGCAGTCAGCAGTTGGTGATGATAATATAGAACCTTGATATTAACCTATTACTCCCAGCTCTATCCGAGAAAGGTAATGTTGCTCTTATCATATTTTGTTCCAAAAATAAAACTAGTGGATGAAATTATTTAACATATGACAAGAATGTTCCTAAATCTATGTAGTTTCAGAAAAATAAAACATTTAATTTTGATTTTTTTCTACTATTTCTAAGAAAAATTTGTTATTAATGTAGTTATTTGCACTCGCACTTTGAATAGTTCACCTGCTAGGGGTTTTTTATATGAAGTATAAAAATGCTATTTTTATCTTACAGTTTCACATTTCATTTGCTTAATCTCTAGGACCTCACAAATGAATATCAAAAGTTTTTTAATATAAATATTTATATTTTATTTTTCATTTTCTCTGCTATATCACTAATTATATCTATTGTCATCAACATACAGTGCAATGAAATGTTTAAAATTAACGAATGGAAATAAGTTCATACCATTCAACTCTTCACAGAAATCCACTAGAGCAGTCATATTTTTATTATATGCATAATTTCAAGTCTTTATGTTTTCATTTATAGTTTATTTTTAATTTTCATGATTTTTAAAACAAACATAATACACAATTAACTAAAATATAAAAGTAAGACCTAAATACAATTTAACTGTGTCTATAACTATAGCATGTTTAAGTAAGAAACCACTGTATGTGCTATAGTTGATCGAGCAAACAACAATATGAATGGCAGTTACATGTACACAGTAAGGAAAACTATGTGCCAATTTTAAATTAACCATTGGTAGAGTATAGTGTATACTGAGCTCTTTATAATGACTATATAGACTTGTGTTAACTAACTACCTGTATGTTGTAGATCTCAAGGCAAAGTATAGAAGGTGGGCGTGGCAGCCGTCAACAATTGGAAAATTTATATCTGTTTCCCAGACAACCCAACTTGTAAATTTTAGATCTCACATGACAATTAGGTCAAACATATGTACTTAGTGTGTAGAAATACCTGTACATGCCAGCCTGTGTGCCTAAGAGAGAAATGGGGCTAAAGTTGAGATTTTTCAAAGCATATGAATTACATGACACGAAAACTGAAGTTTAAGTATTTTTTAAAGGTTTATTTTAAACAAAGTAATTAAAACTTAGATATCATTAAAATTCAAATTATAACATACAATATAATGTTAATTTCATTTTCATATATTTATATTAAAGTGGTTTAATTAAATTTTGAATGTAATGCAATACCATACACAGAAAGTAATTGAAAAATGGTGCTGGGGCTATTAGGTTAAAGAACAAAGGCAATGAGTATTTGATGATGGTGATATAAAATCTTGATATTAAAAAGGGTAGATAGCCTTTATTTAATTATGGCACTATAGAACCTTGATATTCAAAAGAAGATCCAAGTAAGTACTATATTTGTTGTTTTTAATGTATATTCTTTATTTATTATTATAAAAGTAACTAAGTATTTTGTACGTTAAGTAATTTGATATGGTAACATGAGCTGCACATTTGCAGAGTGATTTGGATTATTAGCTAGACACAGTTCAAAGGGCAATAAAATAATAAACTTTAAATAGAAACAGTTGTATACTTTACAATCTTTGAATTATTTAGGATAAACAACTAATTTCCTATTACACGTTGCAGTCATTCTAGAAAAAATGGTAAATTAGATTTATTTCATATTTTCTTATGGTGGTTAAGAGGTCAGTCAAATAAACTGAATGTGTATAGTTAGGGTAGAGAAAATAACAGATAAAATTTAAAGTTTTACTGAAAAACATTTGATATTTATTTATGAGGTTTTAGTGATTATGCAAGTGAAATTTGACAATTTTCAGATGAAGAAAAGTATTTCTAATCTTAACATGAAAATCAGTTTGCCTTGGAGCAGTAAACACATTGACTCCATATATTCCTGAAGAGATGTTTAGTAAAAATACTTCATTAAAAATTCTGATTTTTTTGTCCACAAAAGATTTGTAATGTTTTCTGAAAGTTTTATGAAACTTTCTGAAGATGTACAAAACATATTAAAAGTTATAGTATGAAAACTTTAAAGGGTAATTTGGGGTCACAAACAAGGTCAAATTGACTGCGGCCATAGCAAGAGAGTTAAACAAGGTAAACAACCATTAGTTTTTGTTGGATATATAAACTTGATATTAAACAAGGTATACAGTCAGTAATTGTTGATATAGACCTTAATAGTAAACAAGGTAGGTAGTCAGTTCTTGATGATGGTAATATAAAACCTTGATATTAAACAAGATAAGCAACCAGTAGTTGA